CCTCTCCTAAAAAATTCTCCACCAAAGAAAAGTTTATTTCGTTTAAAAATGGAGTGACAATTGCTAGAGTCCATGCAATGAGTAAACAAGTAAGTCCAATCCTTGCAGTACTGTTACAACCTTTACCCAGAGACTGAGGCCAGGACAAATCGCACCTATCTCACTTTCAAATTCACTTCTGCAGTGCCTAGCAGCCTGCTTTATTTGTGTTTGCTCCAGCAGACGTCCCACCGCTTCCTTGCACAGCCCTGTTCAGACGTGACCTGCTTGACATCCTCCCATCAGTCCCACATTTGGGTAAAACTCTAATTTGAAGTCACACTGCTTTCGCCTTCTACCAATATTCTGCACCTTCTGGTTTCAATCAGAAGCTGAGAAAAACCCCATTTCCCCAAGCACTCCTCCTCCCCAGGGCTTCAAACACACGCATGCCACAGAATAGTTAACAGCTAAATATTTTCTTGCCAATATTTTAAGAGTGCAGAAGGTTCCAAATTGCTGGTAAAATAAACAATGCCAGACTGTGAAAACTCCTGCCTGCCATACACTCTGATGTTAACAAGAGTTCCTTTATTACTGTAACCTTTCAGAAGCGAACAAAAATTATTTCTCTACCCTAGTTCTGCCCTCAAGTAAAAGGCAAAGGAGGAAAGCGAACCATGAAAAAGCTGCATGGTAAGATACCCTGAGTTTTCCATCTTACTTCTGTATTTCATTCAGCCTTGATACTGCTGTGAATAAATAAACTCCCAGAAGATCCTAAAAGCACGGGCGAGGATTTGAAGAGGCCAAAAATTTCCTTACACGCTGTTTCCTGAATAACAGAGACTAAACTTACATATGGGCCATCTTCCCTCTTGCAAGTACATAATAAAACAGGAAACACGAGAGAGCAGATGTAGGATGCTCTCAATGAGACACATTATTTTCAAGCTCCTTGGTACATAGCTCTGTCCTCTGGGGCTTTAGCCATGGATTTCCATCAATACATTGGTATTTCAGTCAGTCCTTTTAACCTTTTTCCATTATTTCCTGGCCTTTGAATATAGAAACAACAACATTCAAGTTCTTACAGAAGAATAATGACAATTAACTAGTTAAGATCACCACCAATACAGCAAGTGCTGTGTATGACCAGAAAAAAAAGAAGAGGAAGAGGCAACAACTGAGGACAGACAAGGGAAAAGAAAGAATCCATTGCGATTCCCAAACCAGAATGGAAAACAGAAAAACACACCAGTTTGCCTAGACATGCACAAAAGTATCGTGTGCTGTTGCTTATGCTAAAGTAGTAAAAGAAATCGTAAGGAAACATGAAAGTGAGCATTGGAATTATTTAATGTATTGCATTTGCACTTCCCAATCATTATTGTTTATTCCACTGTGGGAGCTGTTAGCAAAATTCAGTCAAAAATAAGGGCTTCGTAGAGCTGCAAGTTTTGTAAATGGATAAAATGAGTCAGAGGAGTCAGAAAATGAAATAACAAACTGAGTTCTAACAGGAAAATACAAATATTTGCTACCCATTTACCCAGCCAGGCTACAAGGCACTGCAGTACGTGCACTGTAAACACGAAGACATTGTGTCTGCAGCAGAATTTAAGAATTAGCCTTTGAAGGAGTTTGATAAATGAAATGGCACAGAGCTGCTCACAGGAGATAGAGGCTGCCAGCACTGCCAGATTGCTGACCCACTCGCCCAGGACAGACCACACCAGGAGCATGAGTCCCAGCAGTGCAGAACACGGGAATAATGAGAAGGTCTTTCTAGACAAGGTGCTTTAAGGCAGCTTCCAGTGCACTTCTCGCAGGCACCAGAGGGAAGCACAAAACAGACCAAGGACACCACCTTACAGGAACAGGATCCAACACATCTGGGAAATTTAAATTGATTTTTTTATGCCAAACTCTACAGAAAACTGGGGCAGGCCAGTTGAAAAGAACCCAAACATGTATTATACCTTGATTTCAACACCAGGTATCCTTGCAATGCCCCAAACACGCCTGCATTTCAGACAGCCAGGTGTGTTAGCTCCATGGGCACTGGTTCTAGAACAGCTACATTAAAACAACATGAGAAAGAAACCCCTACTTCAAAACGTCATGACCTGGTTAAGCTGAATTTGCATCACCATGCATGCTGTTTGTTCCAGACCCCATCATGGTCAAGATATTTTCAAGGTAACATTCTGTACACATGCATTTTCTGCATATTTAATTATTAAGATGTCCAGAATCTGGATTTACTCTGGAACAGTACCTGATACTACTATTCATTTATGAAATTCAAAATCTACACACAACATTCGAAACCAACCTTTCCTCGTTAGTTGTGTAGGTTTTTAAAACCTCAGCCTCCCTCTGAAGATGATTTCTGAGTCTTTAGTCAGAAGCGTCAGACTTCTTGTTCTCTGCAATAACTTAAACTGAATTGTATCACATTTAGGAAGTTTTGTAGCTACTGTAAGGTAAAATGGCATTTTTAATCATCTGAAATCTAATTGTGAAGAGTATCGAGACAGAAAACGGTGCTCAAGTTCACAGAGTTAAATTCTGCTCAGCTACAGTGATGTGAACCACGTTATTGATTCTGATGGCATTACTTCAGATGTGCACTAATGTAACTGAGAGCAAATTATGGGTCACTGTGTATAAACAGCTCCAGCTAAAAGTACAACAAAGACTGTATTGTGCTGGGCACAGCAGAGCCAATAAATGAATTCAAAAGACACCTAGATGTGTTCCTGGAAAAAAAGGGGGCAGGGGTCTAAGTGGTCTGGTGGGAAAACAGGAAAGTGAGATTAAGATACAGTAAAACAGGTTTGGCACACGGGGCTTGACAGCTCCTCCTTGTTCTTATCTCTTTTAGAGTTTTTAGAACATGTATGGTTATAAAATTTATTATTTTGCACTCTTTGTTTTGTTGGGGGTTTTGGGGGGGCTGGGGAGGCGTAATTTTTTTTAATCTTATATCTATTATCTGATTACCAGTTGAAATGTCGTTCCAGAGAACATCTACAAGTCCTTCTGATCAACTCTGCAGCTTCATCTAAGGGTATTCAAACACACTCAGACTTGTAACAACTGCTTTTATGCACACACAGTTACTAAAACACAAAACTCAGGCCCGTAAGGTTAATAATCAGGTTGCTAAAGGACTCTGCTAGAGGACAAATAGCAGTGATTTCTAGTACTGAATTCCCCATACAAACGGATTAGGCAGCTGCCAGTCTGCATCACATAAATCTCTTCGCTGCAAGCCACAAGGTGGAGATCTCTGGCAAAGCAGGATCGAAAGGAAGTCTTTTACCCAGCCTAATGTTACTATTAACACTTCGAGCCATTGCATCAAGCCAATTTTTCTGTTTGTTTTTCAAGTTTGATAGAAATGTCACTAGTGGAAAAATTAAGTCAAGAGCACTGGTTAGCCACAGAACTGGACACACCTGGCTGCAAACCCACCAAAAGAAACTGACTTCATTAGTACTAGGGACAGCAGAGTAAAATTTATATCTGAAATATGCCTGCACCAGTAGAATTTGCTGAGGCCACAGGCTCTCCGTGTGTTTTTACAGCTGTGTCAAGTTTTGGTTTCTGACTCTTGCCGACATTCAGGAGTGCTGAAGGAGCTCAGGCTAACAGGTCCCAAAACTTTGTAGCTGAGATTTAGATCTCAGCAATTTTCACAACCAGGTTTTGAAAGAATACAAACTCCATTTGGAGTTGGAGCCGGTGTAAATTAGTAGTTAAAATGCCTTGCATTCTATCACTTTCGACTCCAATGAACTTGTATATTTAAGAGCAGATGGCATATTTTAATAAAGCATCAATATCAATTCAGGAATACAGTATCCATTTTCTACATCGAGTGTTGGAATTGTTACTAGATATGGAAACGAGTTTAAGAACGGCAGCTTTGTCTGTCAACAAGTCAAGTTAAACTAATTGCACACAACCAGCAATTCCACACAGGTGCTCTGACATTTATACCACTATACAGGAACGCACCAATCGGAGTTAAATATTGACCTTCAATACCCTGCATAGGAGAAAACGCAGGGAATGGAGTTTCCAAACCTTCTAGGAGATATGGAGATGATAACTTAGTGCCCTAAAAGTATTTGGGAACATTAATGTCATCATCTTTTTATCTACTATTCTTATCCCAATATATTGAACTATGTTCTTCTGGAGGTAGAATATATACTGATTGCCGGACTAAATTATGTGATAATAAGTAGCTGTTACAGAATCACAGAATCCCAGGCCGTTAGGGATTGGAAGGGACCTCAAAAGCTCATCCAGTCCAATCCCCCTGCTGGAGCAGGAACACCCAGATGAGGTTACACAGGAAGGCGTCCAGGCGGGTTTTGAATGTCTGCAGAGAAGGAGACTCCACAACCTCTCTGGGCAGCCTGGGCCAGTGCTCTGTCACCCTCACTGAGAAGAAGTTTCTTCTCAAATTTAAGTTACACATATTCCTCAAGCAGCTCATGAACCTTTGTCACTATCTGAGATTCATTTAGAAAGAACCATTAGGGATAGATACATCAAAATTAATATGTAGAACCTACATCCTAGGGTAACTGCCCTTTACTTATCACTTAAAACTCCTTGCAATTGCTAAAGCTGAGATGTGAGAAAGAGTTCAATCCGAGTACATCCATGTGTAGACATCCACAAATGCCCACTCTGTTATAGCAGCATCTGCTTCTGCAATCACATGGCAAACCACACGGAAAACTGATTACTTTCAGATAAATCAATGTCATCATCCAGGCCATCGCGCAGTGTCGGAAGCAAGGTCAGTGGCTCAATGCAACAGGCAGGACAGCTGCAGGAATGAATGGTCAGCAGCAAGGGCTACACATACCACCGTAAGCTAATAAAGACATAAGCAGCTAAAGGTTGATTCTTAGGTGCTCTTCTAAGATGGGCAAAGCTACAAAAGCACTGAAAGATGTGAATCATCAAGATTATGGACACCAAAGATGACTTACCCCCATCACCTTACCACGCTGTTCAACATCCTCCCACATGCAGTGCACTATATAGCGACACATGTATTTTCCTGTGCGACCCTCCTGCTTCATTCGTACCAGACACATCCTGCAAGAACACAAACACCAAATGCATAGATTCTAGTTTTGCTTCAAATGTAAAGAATAACTTAAACAGATTTCACTCTTTTAAGAATCTCCTTACAGTATGTGGCTTTTTATGTGGGTTTTTTTTTTCCTGATCACAAAGTTTTTAAATAAACTATCACAAAATTTTCTGTCCTGTACTCAGGAGCTGTATCTGCTGGATTCTGGCCAATGGCCAATCCAGCTATGGCAGAGTGACAGGGGACTCTATTCTGGCTGACAGTACCGTAATCTAGTTAAACAGTACTGCAACCTAAATTCCTCAGCCTTAAAAACATATCAACCTTTGGAGCAGGAACAAATGTCTTGTCTAATCCTAGGCTACAGGCCAGCTGTAATTCAGCCTGGTATACTGAAGTGCCATAAGAGTCTGGACTAGCCAAGCTGTGAAAGCTTAAGCAAGTTACAGACTCACCCAAATTCACATTAGCAATGTCCTAAATTATTTCTACTACAGGGATCTTTGGATACACGTCCAACCACTTGGCAAAACCCCTACATGCAGTACATGCTAGAAGAACTCACGTTTTTAAGTGTATTGTGGGTTCTTAATGAGAATACCAGTTTGAGTTGGTTTATTTTTTTTTAAGCATTAAAGCCGCTCGAGCTTCACTGCTGCTGTTCTGTTTAAAAAATAAATCACCAGAACAAAAAATCCATTTTGCCTCTTTTGCAACATCTGTAAACAGCATGAACTGAAATACAGGGTAAATAAGAGACCAGCCCCACCTTCTCTACCTATGAATTAGCTCTGCCTCTGCGTTATAACTCAGAAGTGCCTGTCCAGAATTGACTGAGTTACTGTAGACAAATGAACAGATGCCAATCTTTATGATGGATTCTATCTTGTCTGCTGATGAGTAAAGGAAAGATATTTTTCAACCTGCAAAGGAGGCAAAACTTATTGCCAGCAATGAGTCTCAGAGACAAAACAAACTGAAAGTAGCAAAAACTGCATGAGTCTTATATTCTGTTTCCTGATTAGAACTTAAGTCCCATACGAGGCCCATTCAGCTGAGACACCAAACTTGAAAGAAGAAAAGCCCAGGGACCAGAATGTGATTTCTAGATGGAGAGCCTCAGAAAATGACACTGGCCACGCAAGAGACAGCTCAGGCCCCAGCACAAGGCAGGTGGAATCAGGTCAGAAGACTGGAGAGAGGGACTGAGGCATCACATCTGTATGTAAAAGTTAATTAGGAAGAGTTACAGTATCCCAAATTTTTACCTACTCTTAACAAGTCAAAGAGAAAAAACCTCAAGTTTAGAAGACTACTTTTGGGCTAAGAAAAGCATTTTCATACTTCTCTTGCTGAATACACAAGCCTGGGGGGGTAGGGAGAGGAAAGTAAGAGTGGCTTGGCAAGAAAACCTCCTCCAAAGGATAAATTCCAGTTCCTATGCAGTCTGCAGTCAGCGATGGTGAAGCAGGAGGAGAGAGCAGCGCACAGACCAACAGCTGACAATCGGTCACTGATGAGCAGGGTTGGAGCGGTGTTGAGAGTAAAACCTGCTGCCCACAAAGCCTAAAAGACGCCTCTGTGTTTGGATGCATAGTGCTGTCACAGAGCTGTTCTGCAGCACCACGAGTGAGATCATGGAATTTTGCAGTTTATTTGAAAGTTTGGTCGTTTGTTACTACACCTGCCGTCTGAGGTTTAAAAGGCACAGGCTCTTTAAAGACTATAAGCTCTCTAACTGGATCAACACAGAGTGAAACATTTCATCGTTTCACTACAGAATCTGTTCTGTAGTTTAGTCCAATAGTGACTCATCTTTGTCAAACTATGAAAGCAAATTTATTCCTATCTTTAGAAAGCCGTTGACCTGACATTGGTTGGATTGGATCAGTTTGCTGTATTTCAGCTATGCAGAGAGATTATTTTAAAAGAAAATTACGTGAAAGGATGGCTGAAAAGGAACAGGAGCACCTGTAACTTGACCCAGCTATATGATGTGATGTACACTTGTACAAATAATGGTAATGAGCAGAATTCTGAACTCTTCCTAATTAGGTTTGCATGTTATCCTGTGCCCCAGCCTAGCAAGTTCACCAACTACCGTATTTACAGTCATGCACAGGTTTTTGCTGGGACACAAGCTAACAGAACCAAGCCTGGCTGTGCAGTCTTTCCCTCTCCTGCTGCCGCTGCTTAGGCCATGTAGCCCATTCCCTAACGTTAAGGCAGAATCAACTAAATGCCTAAGACATTCCAGATAAATTTCTTCTTAAAACTCTCTCAAGCAAGACTCCTTTGATGTAACTTCAACCCCTTTCTCCCTGCCCTCTCTACCACAAACCACAGAGTTTATTCCCTTTCTTCTGAAGCAGCACATTTCAAAAAGTTACGGTATCCTCAGTATTCTCTACGCAAATCTGAGAAATCTTCTCCTGCAGGAACTGTTTTCTTGGTTCTTCTTCTCCTCTGGACTCAGCAACACTTTCTCAAGAGCAGATTTCCTCGTGAAAAACAATGCTCAGATGAATTCTTGCAACAGATCTTTGAGTCTTTCAGAATGGGAATTGTAGCACCACTAGATTTTGATCCTAAATACCTAAAAGACGTCACCACACTTGGTGTGGTGAAAATACGAAGGCAGCTCTAGGTATTTACAAGATAGATCGTATACCGAGTCATTTCTTACTGCAGTCACAATGTCATCTCTTTGGACAGCTAATACTCCGTTTAGGCAGCCACTGCATGGGAAAAGGCAAACTCAGCAGTGGAAATGAGCAACTTGAGATTTTCTAAAAGGTCTGGACTTCTAAACATAAAGAAAGATTCCTCCTCACACCAAAGGAGCAGGAACAACGTGTGTCTCCAGCTGAAACTAAAACTCTGAAGGGGGAAGAAGCAAGTACACCAAAAAGTGAACATAACCACTATTATCAATAACCATGGAGCCTACTTCTCACATTAAGGAACATATCACTCTCTTTCCTGAAAATAGTTATATTACTATTTTACTTTTTACTTACCAGACATGAAGCTGGGCTACTAGAAACCATGAATTCAAAGTATCTGGCATTTGGCACCCTTCATGGGAAGAAGGGAAAAAAACACACACAAAAAAGTAAATATTAAGATTAATTTCATCACATTTTGTGCCTGAAAGAAATTCACTACATCAAAATCTGAATACATTTTAGCAATTTAATTTTAGTTTCTAAACAGAACATACATATCAGAAGCAAACACCATTTACTGTCACACTTGTGCTTAAACTCTAGAACATGCAGCCATAGGATGCTGGAGATTCTGGTTTGATGTGTTTATCACCCACGTAACACTTATGGGGGGAACTTCCAAAATGAAGAATCAGTCAAACATGTGGCGTCTAGCTCAGGAAGACCCAAAGCAGTGGAGAGTAACAGGGAAGTATCAACAGATGCTTTTTTCTTACACTCATGCCTCCTGCTAGGGACAGAACACTGTGCCAGTTGGGTCTTTGCTCCAACTCCACTGCTGTGATTTACTACGCTGCTGCACAACCCACTGCACACTGAGCACACTTTGCCTCTAGCCGTTCTACATTAGAATTAAAACCACCAACCAACCATAGAAACGATTTCTGTTTGCAGATTTAGCTCTACTCTGACAGCCACTGGGTTTCCCGGAGATGGTGTGTCCATATGCACATTCACACTATGGATCTGCATGGACCTAAGGGTTATGTGCGTATTAAGTCCTCCAGTTCCAGTCAGTATTAAACCTTTCTCCTAGGATGTCACTTCTGTATCTGTTTCCTGGAGGAGTTTTTAAGAGCAGTATCTATTGAGAAGAACGTGACACAGTCACCTTGGCCTACCCAGCACTTGGCCTTGTCCTCTGGACTGTTCGAACCTAAGAGGGACAGAGAGTGTTTAGAAATGGACTCTCCAGTCAGAAGTGCCCCAGGGAAGCCAACCTCATCTTTTCTGTGTTGAATATATTCCTTCTTGACTCCTATACTTCTTGGCTCTCAAGTATTACCAAGGAGATTCTCCGGGATCATGAAGCAATACTTTTCACAGCCTCTTTCTTCTTATATGTCAACTACGGTCAGACAACCACCAGTAGAACCAAGCAAAACATCACTACTCCCTCAGAGAGATGACTCCATCAGTGCCTAGAAGGTGCCAAGCTTTAGCATCAGTGCCCATACATCACCTACGCCACCTCTAAGACATTATTAAAGGCACTAACAGTCTATGTTTGGAGATCAAACACAAGTTTCCCTCACCCTCCTCACTTTTGGCTCTCTCATTCCTATTAGAAATAGCTCATATGCCTAGAAATGACTACTTTGACCTAAAGACGTGCCAAGGCATCTCTAACCAGGGCAAGGGCACACAATGCTTGCATTAATCAAACCATTTCATTAAATGAAGGTTCCACACGCAAGATTCAGAGTAAAACACTTAGTTCAACAGAGAGAGGTTTCTGAAGTAGAAGTTACCATGTATCAGTCTCCCACCACAAAAATCACTCTAAAGTGGAAAGCAAAGCTCACACCTCTACTACTGAAATTATGGAAAGTTTTTAAAGACCTGTTCAGTACCCAAGAGGAGAGAATTTTTTTCTCTAACCTTCCAAGTGTTGCACTTCTATTTTTATAATTAATTTTGAACTTCTATATTAGGACCGTCTACATAGTAAATTTAAAGGAGAGATGGCTCCTTTAAAGCAACAAGCTTGCCCTCAGATGTCAGCTTTTTAAAAATAATTCCGTTCTAAACTTTGGGGTTTTGGAACACTTTATTCTGGGAAGCTAACCAGGGAGAGAGATCCATCTTATAATTAAACAGAAAATTATTCCCTTTGGAATACAGGTAGATACAGAAAAATGTCTGATGGTAAAGCTACCTATTAAATGACTGTGATTATTATCAGCTGGGGATAAATCTTCTGCCCACAGAACACATCCTGTTCACATGTCTGTATGTGATAAGACACATGAATGCTCAGGGTTATGAGGACATACCTCTTCCTCCAGTCACAGTCCGCATTTAAAATTCATCAGGTAAGGCACGCAAAACTTGAGCGTGGACTTTCTCTCCTGACAGATCATCTTTGCCATTACCACAACTTTAGGAAGGATGTGATGGGATAATACCCCACATCCCGTAAAAACCCAGGTGTGCTATGTTAGTGATCCCCTGTGCACAAGGAGCAAGTGTCTAGAAGGTACCTGATGGGCTACAGGAG